TTTTTAACCAATTTAAGAAACATTGAAGTTAATACTCCGAGTAAATTCGGCCATAACTGCTCTATAACCGAATTCCGCATAGTCATAAAGCTGGATTAGCTAAAGGGAAAAATCAACAGGGGGCCTCCGAGTCACGTGAACTTTTGTGGTACGCGAGAGTTAGTTTTTCTTATCTCTTCTGTCTGTCCCGAGACTGTCTAATACCACCAATTAACCCCCAAAGGGGCCAGAGGGACTGTACTACACATCTGTCTTACCTCTCAACTAAATCGCTGCTCCTATTGCTTTTAAGTTTCAGATCTAATCTTCAGATTACTAAAGTAACGAAAGGTCCAATAATAATGTAAAATATAACGGCAACAATAGTTAATAACAATGATAACCCGCAGCGGTGGCCATTTTTAAAAGAGGAAACACTAGTTAATTTTCGAAAAAAAAAAGAAAGAAAATTATCATTCAGATCACTCCCTCGTTTGGCATTTATATCGACTATCGAGCTTACAGTCCGGATAAATTTTATATACAATATTAATTAACCAGTATACACTGGTCTGGTAACAACTCCTTTGCTGTATTGTACAGTACAGTTAATTGCTTCTTCTACTCTGGTGTCTTAAGAATATCGTTACGAGGAAGAAGACGAGTGAAAGTTTAATTGTAAAAAGTAGCGGTAAATTTTCGATAACGGTACACGAAGATCTGCTTTGAATTTATTTAGTTTGTTATAATCGTCAGTCGGGCGCCTGTATGCAGCACCCAGATGTTGACTAAGTGTAGAAAGAACGTCCAATTACCGATATTAATTCGCCTTATCGGCGACTACGTCACTTTGTGCTTGGGGTTTTGTATATCCTCGCAGCTGCACGTGGACGGCGTCTGTCTGTCGTCTGACTGCCTGGGACACCTGCTGCTATTCCATCTGAACGATGTCGATGGCCCAAACTGAGAAGTTCGTACCGATTATTATTACTATTATTCATTATATCCAAGCTTTCAATGCTTTATAGCCACGACTTTCGACTCTAAAATAATCACACTCGCAGCACTTAGGATATAAATCCCCCCGTCCAATTGATATTTGTTACACACCTCACTCGGTTACATGTTCTTTCTGATGGTTGTAATGGGAAATTTAACTTTTTATTATATATAACTTAGTAGTATGTTTATAGTTAAAAGCAGGAGTGAATAATCGTATTTATAAAAATAAAAATTAAAAATTATAGATATAGGCTATTTAAATTTATTTTAAAAAAATTCTTCAATTGTTTAATTCGTTTCATTTTCTAAAAACGCTTAAGTATTAGAAAATTATAAGATGTCATTCCCGATTGGACAGTTTTAAAATTTAAAAAAACGGTAAATGAAATCGCCCAATTACCGTATTCGATACAATATCAATAATAGATTTTGCCTTTAACGAAATTATAGCTTCATCCCGATTGGCTAAATTTGAATAATCTTTTTTGTTTGTTTGTTTGTTTATTTTTAATGAATAAAAAAAGAAATGAGAACAAATTAAATCTTTTATTAAATAGAAATGACTTTTTATACTCTTAACAATCGATTATAGCGTAAGAGATTTGTCAGATTGTCGGAAATGTGCCAAAAAAGTAAATATCGGTAAAGGCCATTTCTCTTTCCGCTGACAGAAGTACTTAAATAATTGATTCCGTCCGATGGAGGTACGGAGAGGTGGCAGGCAATAAAACACAGCAGGTAATCTGGCAAAACTAACAGAGTCGAAAATCTCCAACGAGTATTCAGCCATTAAAAAAAAAAGTAGGATGAAAATACACACGCGATTTTCCTTTCGACCTTGCAACCCCCATCCCCTTCTACCGTCTGCTGCCTGTTCCCACGGTAGGGGGCGCCTCCGGCATGATCCCAAGCGAAACTGGTTCCGTGACATTTAAGGGTTAAATTTTATGCATTAAAATTTATTTTAAACCCTATTTCGGACGTTAAACTTTCTTAAAATTTATTAATATAATAAATTAAAATGCGCGCGCAGTAAGGAAAAATTATTATTATTTTTTTTTTATTTTTTTTCTTACTGTCTTACGTTACTGGTAGTAGTTTTTAGAGGTAATTCCCCCGATTAGATTTTTTATGCGTTTCGGGTCATACGTTATAGGATATTAGCAATGTAGAAAATTGTTAAATTAAATAATTAATTAATATCGTGGAGAGAAAACTTTCCTTGATTTCTTGCGATAAATAAAAAGAATTTTTCCTAAGAGTATTATTAGCGATGTAGCGAGTCATCCGTCGCAGTGTAGAATGTTAACGAAGATGACAAGTTTAAAACTTGAAGCGGGGGGGAAAAAACAATAAAAACAAATTAGTGGGTTTCGGAGGTACTATTTTTGGCATCTAGCACAATGGTAACTTTCATTAACAACTAGCAAAATTACTTAAAAACAATTTAATTATGCCGATATCTCGTTCAAGTACCTTTAAAAGGAAGTTCCGTTCGCGGCCTCCGTGGCGCAATCGGCTAGCGCGTTCGGCTGTTAACCGAAAGGTTGGTGGTTCGAGCCCACCCGGGGGCGAGGTTTTTTTTTCTACAATTTTTTTTTTTCTTAAAATTCCCGTTTAAACCGTAGAAAATGTCTAGCGTCGTCGGTAATTACTCAATCATTAATTTATCCGAAACGGAGGTTTTTTTATTTTAATCTCGTCTCTCCTCCTCTGTTAAAAAATTCCAACTAGCAAATAAATTACGTCCGAGTTCCAAATTTGGAAGATTGATTATTTAACTATATAAATAATTTATTGATGTAATAAATATTTGTACGTTTAATTTAAATTTTAAATATCGCCATTTTACTACTTAACTCTATATTGGGAAAAAAAACAGATTGGATATATTTAGTGGTAAAGCAGGGGTAAAAATAGGGGGCGAAGTTAAAAAACTAGTAGTATCTAGTAGGAATATGTATAAAAATGGAAGCACGATAATTTCTGGGAGGGTACTTTGCGGTGAATGAAGACAAATCGTGATATGTATCTATCTCGCTGGTATCTTTTAGATTTTTAGTATCACAGTAATGACCAGGATCTATCCGATAAATCTGATAGTAATTAGAACGTAATAATCTGTCATTGGAGATGGATAACATCTTATCAATATTCCAACATGGCGGCATAACAGCTCTTCATAACTCTTATCGCCGGGATTATGCGGGTACCCCCCACTATTTTTTTAAGTATCGTTCCTGTAGTAAATGTTTTAACATCTGCATCAAATGATACATAAGCCATTCTCCATGTTGTTTTTATCAATTAAACGCCCAGGAATTTTGTATATTTGTAAACACGCGTACCGCTTATAGAACAGAGGAGAAGGAGGGGGAAAAAAAGAAAAATTTTACATCTCGAGGGGGTACAATATTAAAATTGTGATAGAATGCATTCCAAAATGGCGTTCGGCCAAATATGAGGTGCCCCCCTGAGGGAGACGTACGAAAGGAATATGGCGCCAGGAAGTAGTGTCGCCACTGTGACATCTAAAAGGAAAAATCTCTATATCCTTCCAAGATATCTAGCAGGATAGAAGTATGGATTTAGAGGATAATTAGGATAAGAGGAAAACAAAGTTAATTGGAGCAAAACTTTTATCGTAAAACTTATACCACGATCCTTACCCCCCGAAATAAATCCTCACCCGAGTTAAACTAATTATAAACTTATTAATTGCATTTAAATTTAACTGATTATTATCTATTAGAGTATTAATGTCTATAAAACACGTCATCGGATCCCTTAATAAAGCCTTCACGTGTAAATATCGCAGGCAGGGCTTTACATCAAACAATGGAATCTTAGTTATTCTGTAAGGGTTCTTCTATAGTCGATATTTTATAAAATGCAACTCGTTAATTTTAAGTAAGGTACAGTACAATACATAATACTCTACTAATTTTAAGCATCGTTATTTGAGTTGCTGATAGTATTTTACGTCTTGCAGCCTTAAAACTGATTTAAAATGCAGGAAACCCATTTTATTGAGTTGCGAGACATTTAAATGTGATAGGAGTGTTTATGACTCATATACAATTGTGAAGTGTATAAATCAGGCTTTACAAATATGGCAAAAAACCTTGAAAATGTCGGAAAGTAAGCCGCAGATAAAAGCGGAAAAGCTACTACAAACTTTTATTAATACCCCAGTGGCAGGACCAATCTTAGATAATTGTTAATCTTATTGAAGTGGTACGTTTTTATCTATATTCGAAGTTCAACCCCGGGATGATATACGCCTCCTCCACCCTTATTGCCATTAAGGAGTACGATAAGTTTGAAAATAACATCAGAGAGAGAATAAAAAGATATTAAATTCGTATTAAACTAGAGAGAAAAAATAATTTCGAGTGGCATTTTTTTCTTTGAGAAAAAGGGGCGATAAGAAGCTTATCATCCCCTTTATGAAATCGAGTGCCATTCTACACGTCGGTTCGGTTTCGTGTCGTCGTACGTTTTGCTAGTTAAATGGCTTCTTAATTTATATATATATAAAATAAAATAAAGTACGGTATAATTTCGAAGTTAACCCACGAGGAAGAAGAATTTGGACTAACAGCGAGTAGGCGTGCCATAATAAAAATAAGAAAATGTTAATAAAACATGAGCTGAATTAAAATTGTACGCCTCATTAGTAAAATCTAAGAAAAGAGAGTCAGAGTGGCTCCAAAATCGAAGGGTCAAAACAACTAACAAAAGTCAAAAACAAATAGATATTTGAACCCTGAGAGTCATTGGGCTTAACGATAAGACTGCCGCGTGCCCGGTCCCCACCCCTACTTTTTCCTTCCTTCCCAGGGCAGTTATCTGGCATCCCGGTCCCAACATCGGGCGACAGCACGACGCCCCACAGTGTCTTCGTTTCAAGTAATCAGCATTACTGCCCTAGGCTCCACCTTCGTTATTTGATTAGACAAACCAGTCCTGAGGCCGCTTTGGCCAACAGGGGGAGCGGCGGAGAGTAGAGAGAGAGAGAGAGAGAGAGAAGTGCACGAGCTGAAACACACACAAGTTAAGTTCAGTCAGACGGAGCTCCGCTTCGAGGTCGCACGTAGAAAAGTGGCAGAGGCGAGTTTAGGCATAGCGATGGTACTGTTTGGGGTGAGGTGAGACGATGAAGAACGAAAGCATTTAGTGAAAGTTCTAGCCTGTCCCCACACACACAACATACACGCGGAGATGTGTCCCCAACTGACGAAGTATTTCAAGATTTTCGGCCTGTTTATGTGTTGCTGGATGGCAGTCGAAGGTGAGTGGTACTTTTTACATTTTTTTTCTTCTTTCGTTTTTCAATTCGTACTTTGCTTGAAGGTTGATTATACTAAAGACTTATCTCTCGTGCCAATCGACCTTTGTTCTCGAATTCAATTCGATTAACAATTGTATACTTGTTCGAACGTCCTTCGTTTTTGTTATTTGTATATACATTGCGTGACGTAATTTGGTGATAAAGTTCGAAAAATGACCCGTAAATAGTTGTAGCACGTTATACGTCTCGAAGTAGTGTGGCTCCATTCCTCGTCTCACCCGAAAATTTACACGTCATTCCCGTTAATCATTCTGTTAAGAAAGTTTTTACACGTGACACCGCGTTGACAATTTCCGACGGGGTTAGCGCGACAAAGCACGTTTAAGTTCCAAGAAACGTTTAAACGAATTAATCGTCATAGTTGAAATTTAAGATTGGAACGGCAAGGGTTTGCGTGACATGTCGTCCTTGTTTTTAGTAGCCTGGAGGTTTTTCACTCAAGTCCGACCGCCTAATGGTTCTTTCTCAGCTGCCATTCTTTGTTCTGTCCGCTTTTCGACCAGTTTTTTCTTACAGGGGGTAAAGAGGTCCGTGTGAAATTTTTTATGTACGCCATTCGTAATTACCATTATGTCGTGCCGAGCGGGTTGAGAAAGTCCTCGAAGAATAAAGACATTGACAATCTATTTTGTAGCTCCAACATAGTTTAAAAAAAGAAATAATAATGAAAATTAGCTACATAATACATATCCTTCGAATAACAGTCAATGGCGTCTCGATTGCGCAACTGTTTTCCTAGAAATTCTTCAACTGTTCCTAAATATAACGCGACTGTTAAAAATTTTGACATTATGTACAATGTACAGTATACAAGCGCATTAAAAAAAACACCATGTATATAGAAATTTAGATCAGTTTAAGTTTTTTTCGAGCTTTTCAGGAAGTCGTACGGAGCAAATGTAACGCCCTTTATTGTATTCGGCACGTGCTGATGTATATACCTCCCCTGTACAATAGATGGTTGTACCAGACTCGAAGCACTCCCGCTGAGCTTGCACAAGGATTAAGCTTAGATCACTGTCCCCCTTTTCAAGTGGTAAGTTATTTACCTCAGGGTTAAGTTGCCGGTGACGTAACAATAGCCTCTTGTGTACTCTAAGCCCTAGGGGTTCTTTTATCCCTTTTACCAGGCCGGGATAGCTGAATAATGCGGTCAGTTTTGCACAGTGTGATGCTTTAAAAAAAACCAAAAGGTAAACTAGAAAGAGAAATGTAGTTTTATAATATTTTAGTCGGTGTTCTAACATTTTAATTTTGTTCTGCCTAATATTATTGGCGACACTAGAGGTGCCACATGGACTAGACTAGCTAGCTGACGTCAGAAACGCGATCAATGTCTTTGGTTCCCCTAAATCCCCTCCTCCCCTTCTAGAACCACAATCTCTCATGCTGAATGCCAAAAATGTTTTATGAATAGATTTTTGAATTTTTCCCCCCTTTATATGTGTATGTATGTATATATAGAAGATATTATTTTTTACTGAAGAAATGCGAGTTGTGATTTATGAATGCCCTCTCTGTTCTCAGCGAATTGCGCGGGTTTTTTTCCGGTATAATATTTTTAATTGCTTTTAACATAAGCCGCTTTAAGTGTACAACTTAAAGAATATGGCCACTGTCATAAAATTATGGAACGGGCACTCTACAGCTTGGCATTCTACAGTTGCGTGTAACTTTGTTCCTTTCTTCTACGAGTTCAATCGAAATAAAAATAGTTTCGTGGATGCCCTTCAACAATTTCTACGTAACCGCTGATTGCCCACCTGTTAACACATAGCGACAGGTCAATCACACTCTAGAGCATTCGATTGTGTTGCAAGCAATAAGTCTACCGAAACAACACCCGCTTCGTCTGAATTATTTGTGTCACTATTTAAACGGCAAAGAAAAAATGGACATAAACATGTTTATGAATCGAATAATCTTGAAATAAATGGTTTTATTTAGTCTTCAGACTTATGAAACACGAGATAAGTCGAGATAGCATCGTCCGGAATTGCCGAATATATCTTGGAAAAAAATATGATAAAAAAAAATAAGAGGCAATTATCCTTTTATGATCCTCCTATATAACTACGAACGACCTCTGGACCCACAGTTTGGTAATTTGACCGACGTCAGCTTCAGCTTGAGGTAATGAGGCAATGCGTGAGGTCTTGGACGTCCTTTCGACATTTTGTTTGTTTGCCATCACCGACCTTAACCAGATGGCCTATAAGCAGCACTCTTTAACAAACCAATTCGCTTGAATTTTCGAAAGTAAATAATCTAATTGACAGTAATCTGGCGCCCGTAACTAATTTAGTTCGCATTTTTGTAGTGAAAAGCGAGGTAATCCACTTGAAATATTTGATTTTAGTGCTTTCTAATAGGCGTAAAGCGTGAATCCGTTGCCAGGAATTTCAACTTTGTGTGTTTATGAGAATATAATCGCTGAAGACGGAGCGATTTTTTAATTTTCTATTTTTAAACTCTAATCGGGTTCCTCTAGGACAATCAACCTTCGCGATACAATCAAGAGTTTCGATCGTGCCCTGCCAAAGGTTCTTAGTGACAATTCGAAGCGTGTTCCTAAATTTCCGTTCAAATCTATGTTATTGCTATTCCCGCTCCGTTTTCTGGCAGCTGATTTGCGAATTTCATTCGATATCCGCGGATACGGGCCCCTAATTACAGATCCTACCGTCGCGAGCTGTTGCCATTAGTATCCCACTCGCGTATACCAGTCATATCACGGCCAGCTTTGCCAAGAATTTTTCCTTTTTTCACCCCGCCGGGTATATGCTAACAGAAACGAAGGGGGATCCCATCTAGTTTCCCACCGCCCGCTGGGGGCGCTGACGGAGACAAATGGTGACGTGCTGCCGGTTGAGAATCTTACCCGCCTACCCTATCCTGGCTTACCTGTCTGTACGTTGACTCCGCGATGTTGTGACAGCTCGCATTTTTCTCCTATTCATTTATGATACTTGTTACTCTCTAAATGTTACATCCCTACAAGAAGCGTAATTTTTTATACAAAAGGAAAAAAAAAGAGAGAGAAGAAAGCCATCTTCAACGTGCCCATTGTTAATTTTTAAACGTAACTAATGTATTTATATACGATCTTTTGTTGTCGATCTTAATCCTCGAATGCCATTCTAACCTGTAGGTTTTGTTGGTACGCTTCCAGAATTGTGCAGAGTAACGACTCCAAACATCGCTGTAAATTGTGGCAGAGGAAAGGGTACCAACGTCTCGAGCGATTCTTTGATACTTCGAAACTTTATAAATATCTTGATTAAGTGCCGTTAGTGGCACGGAATGCCCCGTACAATACGTCTAATGGACACGACTCCGTTTCAATCCGCCGTACCTACACAAAACCGAAAGAAATCAAAACATAATCCGATCTGCCTTCAGGATTTGTTCAGATGACTTTCCATCCTTCAACAGTTTAGTGATCTGTTAGTGACCCTCCTCCATCTGTAGCCGACTTACTGTCGTCATTCTAATGGACGCCAAAGTCGTTCGACCATACAAAAATACAGTACATTGGACTGTCTCCAGGACTTATGTATCCCAAAAGTCTGAGAACTAAATCCTTTCCGCGTAGGAAAAAAAAAGTAAAATAAAATAAAGAAACATTTCGATGTGGATCGTTTAGTAACGACATACAAAACTTCGCCAAGTGTATCATTTAAAAATGGTTAATGAAAATCTTTCTTCTGCATTGTCAAAATTCCATCAACGCTATTTACGAGCCCCGTCTATTGTTTATTTGTTTGTTAAGTGTATAAAAATAATGAAATTTGGCATTTAGATCATATAAAGTAGCGCATTCACGCGTGCAATATAAAATAAAAAAAAGATTTGTGGGGGCTTAGAATAGTTCTGGTTCTACTTTTCTAGATTACTTTCTTTTTTTATTTTTTTGAGGCATTCCTTCGAGAAATTCCTACACTTTTTACAGCAATCTATCAAAGATCTTTAGCATTTTTTTCTGTATATTTTTTTCGGTTGTTAGTAGTGTATAAGGAAGCCATATCGCAGGTAATAAACGGAAGCCAAACTGTTTGATTCCATCGCTAGTTTCTGACTCCAGACCAGCATTAACTCTAGCATCTCAGAGGCCAGCGACTTCAGCTTTTATAATACAACCGCTCGCCAGATGTAGCCCGGAGCTATGTTGTCGGCAAATGCCACCTATAATTCACGCCGCCAAACATGTTATCTCGTCTATGACTCGTGGAATCACGTAAGTTTGCGTGACACGCTCGCCAACAGTGCCCCTCCAGTTCGACTCGTTTTTTTCCCCTCCTCCTCCTCCTCCTCCTCCTCTCGTGCCCCCGTCTCGAATACTTCTCTACGTCATTTCCTGTCTTTCCGAAGACCTCAAAATGCCATTTAAATGTTATTCTTATAATTTAGTAAGCAAATTGCGTACGACAGAACCGTAACCGAAATGTGATAAATGAGAGTGAAGGATAATCATTTTCTCCAGCTGTCATTTACCTGGCTATTTGTCGCCTGTTTGCCTGTCGTTTAAGGCTTGACCCGTACCGACATTTGGCATTATATTATGTCAGAATGGCATAGAATATCGCCTACCACCTGTACAGGAATTCATCACAGCTGACAAACTAACAGAGCTTAACAATGCCACTTCGGTAAACTTATTTTTTGATTTACCGCGTGTACGTTTCATAATTCTATAGATTAACCCCACACGTAATGTATTCATTAAACCCCCCTCCTCCTTTACATGCAAATATGTCATTTAATAATATTTTTATTCCACATTTTTTGGTAGATTCGCTCAGATAGCCCGCGGGGTGGATCGATCCATTAATTCTTTTCTATTATAAATGTGCCAGTTAAAATATTTTTTTTGCACTCGATTTGCATATATTTATATTTTTGACCAGTTATTTCCCTCCACTAGATGAAACTCGTTTCGTTTTTTTCCTGTTATAAATATTCAAAGTATAATATTATATTTTTATCCCTCATAATTACAACTTTCTGGTCATTTTTCAGAGCCTCGTTACTTCAAGTTGATTACCTAAATTTTTGCATGAAATATTTTGATCGGTTAAATTAATTCCTTTTATTCTAAACTCGATTAGAAATTTAAATTCTATTCTAACCAATTACGAGCCTTTGTCGGTTGTAACTAATTTAAATCTTTCTTTTAATAACCAATCACAAAAATTCATCAGTTTGAAACTGATTCGTTCAATTACAAATACGTCATCTACTCGATTACAAATTCAAATTCGTTTCGACCAATTAAATTAACGAAGATCCGTCGGTTATAACGTAACCGATTTACTTAAACGAGCGAGTTTATAACGGAATTAAATGTAAATTTATAATTAAAAAATGAATAAAAATAGAAGAAAAATTCCGTTACGCAGACGTACAAATAAAAATGGAACACAATTACTGTAGAAAGCGTTTAAGAAATGGCACATTACATTACATATTCTCGTCTCTTGTTAAGTAACGATTACAGTGTATCTCGAGAGAGTGTTAAGTAACGACGACGGCGTAACCTAGAGACTATTAAGCTTAAAAATAATTAAACGTCGAATAAATTTAACTAAATGCTATCAAACCAGTTCGTCTTTCGATCTTTAAAACCAATATTATCAAATCGTAAAATTTCTAATTGTTCGGCCATCTTTTCTTCTTCTCGTGTTGACATTCTTCGCGTGCCCCTCCCAAATTTTCTCTTCCCCCTCTCGCAACCTCGAATTTGGACCGCGCCCGTCGGGTCACTAACCAATTAAGGGTCGTTATCTCGGACAACTGGTTAAGAGCGGTGCCGTTTCCTTCTTTTTCGCTAAAATACGATCCCTTTAGGATAAGACGAAATCTGGATTTTACGAAAAGTCGGTTATCGACTTTAAAAATCGCCGATTGTTTAAATGGGGGAAAGGGAAGGATCGTGTTTCTTTGCCTTATTTGGTTGTTTAGTAAAGATGTTTATCGGGAGAGTGGACGAGTTGCACCAGTTCGTTTTCACTCGCCGCCGCCGCCACCCCTCCTGCGGCTATGTAAAAATTACATCAAATTACGCGAGTTCGACGCCATGTTTCTTATCCCGACCTGTCGTAAGAGCCTTTACTGGCAGTTTTAAGTATTTTCCGTGCCGCCTGTGCCGTATACAATGCACAGTGTTTCTAATCTATGCGCGCAATAATGAGTTACATTGATATTGTATCAAGCGGGATGTAGAATAGAATAATGCTTCCTATGTTAAAAGATCAAATTTCACCACATCTGAGTACTGGAGATAAGCATCTCGAATCGACTCTAGGCCTCTTATCTCTTCCGGGACGGCTTCTGTCCATTTTACCCTCCTCCTCTCTTCTGGTATGATTGAGACTTAATATGAACTGGGGCTTTGAAGGATGCCAACGACGATGGAATGACTCAGAGCTACGTCATTGTTCTCGTGTAATTTTGCAGCAAGAAAAAAAAAAGAATGGTAGCGGGTCTTATTCCTGTTTATCTAATTCAATTCTTCGGATGTGTTTCGTTTATTTTATTTTAGTTTCTTCTGAATGGCCATTGTCAGCACCCTAAAATATAATTAAGAGACCTTTCGGATGGTGTAAATACAATTAATGGCGTTTTATAAGTGGTTTCAATGATGATATTTTATGAAATTTAACACTTGAAGCTTCGGAGAAGACGATAAGTGCTCTTGTTGACAAGGGCTTCTACGGCGCCTAATGTTTAGTAGCGAACCTGTTCCAATACTTTAAACACTTCCAAGTTACGACTTCCTTCGAGAAGTAACTCTCTTGTTACAATCTTCACGAAATTATCTGTTAGTTGATCGTAAAAAAAAGTCACTGCAACGACACGCGAGGACGTCACGCATTCGATGACGTTCCACGTATACAACTTCCGACTTTATCTCTATAAAGGGTGGCTCAGAGTGGGGTATAAATTAGAAAATTTCACGCTATCGATTAAAAAAAATGATAGATTTGCGTTTGTTCTTCGAGACGTGCAAACACACTTACCAATAATGACATTAAAATGACCCACTAACCTCTAGATCGAGATAATGACTTTAACGGACATACAGACAATAGGTATTCTCCCGAAATAAAAAAAAAAGTCTCCCGTAATAGCCATAATTAATGTCGAAGTCAAGGTGAAGAAAAAAAAACCAGGTGAGTCGGGAACCCCGAGCTAAGTTGTTAGCAAGCCACTCGCCGGTAATTTTACCTTGGGGTAGAGAAATTGTACGTAATGGGAAATAAATAACAGCGTCTCTCTACTTCTTCCCTCCCCCCCGTAAAATTACAGCAGTTCCTGGTTCTCCTTCGAACAGGGACACCCTTTCATTAGCAATGCCGGCGACCCGACCCTCAATTCCAAACTTAAGTGATGTGTAAAGTTTTAGGGATATATTCACGAAATCGTATCTAAAAATGTGTATTTTTATACAGGAAAGAGGAGGGTTTCTTCGCTCACCGAAAAAGTTTACGTATCTTCACGATCTTTCGAACGTGCTCGAGTACCAACTTCGGAAAGACGTCACAAACTCTATTCTTTGCTCGAGTACTTGGAATTGTTGTTGTGTCCCGGTCTAGAGTTTTTGTCTCCCTGTACCGGCGACATTTCCACCAATTTGCGAAATTGAAAAGAAATCGTTCGGCAACCATGCGAAATAATTACCATCTTTTCCCCCTATGCTTTCGGGAGGGCAGGTGCCCCATTTTGGGATGGGCTTGCGGGCCTTCCGAGACGAACAAGGGAGAATTTAATAACAGTAATAAAGGTAGCTACGTCCTGGTCGAAGTCATCGAAGAATTTGGGCGTGATTAGACGGCATTTTCGATCCGGAAATGGCTAATATAATTCTTGGAATTTCAAAAATAAAAAAATTAGCCCATTCCTGTGAAAGTTACATTTGTCTGAAGATTTCACCATTATAATTAACTCAATTAGTGTTTTTTCTTTTTGAATATTTATCAATAAAGTGTCTTCATTAGTGTATAAATTCTCGACATTATTGGGGAGTTTGCGATAATGAAAACACGCGTAACGACAATACCTTAGTAAACAGGGCAACACGCAAATGACATTAACAAAAACAAAGCCTGTATTATAAGAATTGATTCGGATCTCTATACACGTGTTTATTAACAATTGTTTGATCTTATACTGTATAGTAAAGCATCTAAGAGGTACTCGACATCTTTCCTAAATTCCGACTACCCTACTAATTTCCCAAATGGCAAATTACCTTACGCGTACATAAATAAAAAAAAGGAGGGAATATTTGTAATTCAAGACGTTTGTGTAATTTGAAACTCCTATATAAACAACCAGGACACGATCTTTTTATCAATTATTAAGGAATCTTGCTATCGGTATGTACGGTATGAGCATTTCCTTAAAGAGGGCACGCGATATTTTAATGCAACACCCGACTAAATACTAGAATTGGATACGAAATTTCCCTTTAATCAGATTGCTAAGTATCGGGATAGGGAGAGAGGGAAGGGGGAAAATCGAACATTTTCCCGCATGCCACCATAGTGTAAATAATCAACTAAGGGTCTAGATATATTAACCCTTGATCTTTTGACTCGTTTTGATCCCTAAACCCACGCTAACCGCCTGCACATAGTTAAGAAGAGTAGACGGCGTTGATGAGATGAAGTAACGTGATCCATGTGAATGTTCAGACTTTGGCCTCATTTCTGATATGATAAAGGACTTTCCCCTTACACTTTCTTAGCACTCTCTCAGATACTAAACCCAACATTCGTAAATAACTGTGAAGTGGGACGAGTTAATGGGGGGTGGCAAACGATACAAAAATTCTTCTGAAAAAAAAAATGTATAGCCAGATATCGACTAGAAATGCAGAATTTATTATTTATTTATTTATTTAATAACATTCCCAAGCCGCCCGCCTGTCTGACGATGATATTTCCTTTCAGACAGGGACACTGCCCACAATCGTCTTAGAAATCCATTTTTGTATTGCCTATTTTCGATTCCTCATTAATCACGTAATTCTCGTATATTCCCCATTATGTATTTACGATTATGTAGTGTTTACAGTATAAAAATATTATTTTTTAATAGCATTTTTCTACCCCCCGTTTTTTTTTTACTATCGAAAATTGTTTTCGCATTTCTGAAATTTATTGCCGTCGTTACGAGGAGGGGAATACATATTTAAAATGTTCATTCACGTGATCGTATCGGTCACGTGTCTAGTCTGACTGACTGTCGCCAAAGCTTCCTGGGAGACTCACCGTCTACCCTTAGCAGACGATGCAGTTCCTATTCTGTCCTTGAAATAGTGGCGAAACAATGTTATTAAATGCAGAAAACAGCTTATGAGCATTCTAAATTTATCCGAAATGATTTGTTTTTTAATTACGCAACCCCCTAGTTATCACTGATAATCATCCAGACGCCGGTAGATGTATACTGTACGTGAATATCAATCATACAGCAATGTCAAAACGGGCGTACAAGCCCGTTGTCGACTAGACTTTACTGTACTAAATTTCCTCTCACCCTTTTTTTTTTTACAGGTGATATCCGATGTTACTGCAACCTTCCGCTGTGTGTAGTCACCGGTTACATGTGTAAATCAACACTGAATGCATGCTACACCGAGCATTTTAGCTACAGTAGTGACCTTTCCCGTTCGCGTCACGGTTGTTTAGATCAGTTACGTCACGAGAAACGAACCCAATGTGCCAAAAGGGGAGTAGATGCAGCTGCAGCGACGACCTCCAATCCGTCCATTTTATGCTGTACCGAAGATATGTGTAATTATGTCAGCAGCATGGACATTAATATTCAAGTGCACACCAGATCCAACTCTAGTAGGGTTGCAGGTGAGTGGAATACATTTTCGCGTACGTAATCGTAGTATCGTTGATTGACCCCCTTTCGCTCCTAACTAAAATAATCACTTCTCGCCAGGTATATACGACTACAACAACATTGCCAAAACACGCAGAGAGATAGCCCTTCAACAGGACGTCTGGTTTCGTGCAGCCGTCATAGCCGTTCCTATAGCTGGAAGCTTCATCCTCATACTTCTAGTGTTGGTAGCTGTACGCATGCTCCGTCGGGATAGCAAGAGACATCGCCAGTTCCTAGAACTGAGGAGGCAGAGAAGGATGCTTTTATTAAATGACCAGAGAAGGAACAAGGCCGTAGGAATGTATCTAACAGCACCCACATGGGATAAAGATTACGTATACGAGAAACCATTAAACTCTTCCTTTCTCCTATGGACAAAATGGACGCCCAATAAACAAGCGGATTTCGTCTAGATACGGGGGAAAAAACACTACTTTTCATTTCCAAAAAACCGAATTTCCGTTTCGTACATCCGGCAGGTGCTTCCTGCCACGCTACCTTTTTTTTTTCCGACTCGATCTCTACGGGGTGGGAAGATAATAATAGTAAAAAAAAGGAAGTGCATACAACTGATCGATCAAGTGGGCCAGTTTTACAATATTGTAAGAAGACAAAGAAAACGGAAATGATGATAAACTAGTCATGCTCTTCGAGTCCGAATTTCCAGAAGAGTTACGTGAAAAGTATTCCTGAGTGGTAGAATTCTGCAAGATTTTTTTTATTATGGTCACTTTTCTTTAATGTAACATGACGAAGGTGTGCGCCTTTCTGCGCGCGCTTGGGTGCTCGTGTGTGTGTGTAGTATGATGAGGTATGAGAACTGGGTTAACGATATACATTATTATTTTTTTTCCGTACTTACGGATTTGTAATGATAAGAGAAAGAAAGGTCAGCGTTCTTTAATACCTCTTGTTTAACGTGAGGTGCTAAATTTACATTGTAAATAAATATTGTATCTACAATATTTAGATTGCTATAAGCAGTTACTGTCATATATTGTTCATTTGTTTATAAACCATTGGAAAAATATCCTTGTACGATATTTTACTAACGATTATATATATATAAAAAGACTTCTATTTATTGAATTTTGAATATTTGAATTTTGTTGTGTGATTTCTTTTGGAATTTTTCACACACCCAACTCTTCTGTAAACGTTTAAATCACTCGACTACTTTCAGTTACTGTATATTTGTACTAATGCCAGGTATTGTAGTTTTAATTTGTTCAATCTTTGTATTTTGTTTAGCTTTCTACACCCCTACATCCTAAATTTACTTGTTGTACGTACCCAAAAAAGGTAGATTGGAGCATTAATTAATGAAGGTGCGAAAATCACACCCCTTATCTCTACTTTCATCTATTTTTTTTTTATAATTTAATATCTTAACTCCCGCAGATCCTATGTATAGATGCACAGTGGGGAATGAATACTCTTTCTCCCTGCCAAGCGTAGTAATAATAGTAACGAATATAAATTCTCACTTGAAAAGTATAAAAATCTGGTTAACGCGAAGATTTACAATTTACAAACAAGAAAAAAGGTTAAAGAATGTGGCATCCATCTACCAGACGACTGGGCATAAACCTCATAAGACTTGCATCGCTCCGGGGTTCAAACCTTACATCGAGTAAGGTCATATAAACGGAGGAGAAGATATGTAAAAATAAACACGATTCTTACTACTATAGTAATAAAGGTATTTCAGTACTCAGAATTCGTTAAAAAAGGGACCGGAAAAATACCCCTATACGTCGTCATTATTTTTTTTAAAAAAAAGCGGTTATACTGTTATTTTTAGACCTACTAATGAGTTCGGTTCCCGTCTAGTATGATTTATTTTTATACCGGAAGATGGCGCTACTTATTACCATTTCCTGTTAGGGACTTGATGGAAAGTAGTACGTTGCCGCTTTTCAATTTTGACCAGTTGAAATGGCGCGTGTTCGCTCCTTTACCGATTAAATTTCCTGTATTATAAACTGGTATTGGTTACATTTTTGTTAGGTTAGGTTACGCCGTTAACATTACGATTCGGCATGAATTATGGGGTTACTTTCATTATCTATTGTTATGTAGAGTACTGTAGAGTTAATTTCGCTAGTATTACAGTTAAGCAACACTTGTAAATTTAAAAAAAAAATCAAAATTAACACGTACAAAAGCGGTGTTGCATAATACAACATAAGCATTAATATTTTATAATACGAAAAGTTAAGAAAATTTCAATTCGAACAATAATAATGTAACAAAAAGTATTGTTTTTCTAGTGTTTAAAGTATTGTATAATGTATACATTACGCTTGAGTATACTTACATAATACTAAATTATTGTACATTATTAGTGGATTTTACAATAGAAGAACAATATAATCTAGCTTGTACAATGTTTAAAAAGTATCAATAGTATCATTAGTTTTATGTGCATTATTGAAATTAGTTTATACTATCTTACAGTAAATTGTATTGTGTTACTAACAAGGAATATACCAGGAGTCGAGTTTACACAAATTGCAGCTTAGGGCCTTACATTTTACGTTATAAACCCTGTTATACGTTATAATTTAGAGCCACAACAAGTCGAAGTCCAGCAATGAATAATATATTATAAAGGAGAATGGATGAGCGTAAACAGTAGATGACTCGAACGAAACACACAATCACTTCATTTAATATTAACAAAAATTTGGAGACATAATTTATTATTATTATTATTTTTTATCTAAGGATTATTTACATAATGCTATTATTACATTGAATATAAACACAATAATAAACGGATATTTATTAATATTATTATTATTATTATCATCTTTTTATACAGACGTGTCATAAATATCGAAATCGCGTACATAAACACACACACACACACACACACCACACACACGTATACACAAAAAGTATAATAAAAATATATCAGAACAAACAGCACAAGTGGGAGTGTTCTCATAAATTAACCATTGCACGCTTGTCCGAGTTTCTTGAATATAAAAAAAAAACAAAATTTTAAAGTAAAACACCTACAGCACCATACTTTTTTCTACTTTCTGGACAAAAAAAAGGGTGCAGATAATTATAAATATTTTATATAATTTTCTTCTAGAGTCCGTGTGGCACTCCGAAAGCGCAACGAGGTATGAAGTAATTAGGAACATTAACATACCACATTTTGTGCGCAAGTGTGGATGAACGTTTTTAAATTATAGGAATGGTCATCTACTGTGGTTCTTCCACGAATAACATCTCTGGAATGGAAAATATTTCAAAATCTGAGTTGCAGATCTTTGGTACAATTCTGATATTCCAGAACAACGATGACACTTTCACTTGTTTTGACTGAAATTAATGTGTTTGTATCTTTTGCTGGAGTTGTAATTATCACGTATTGACAGCCATTTTGTTATCGTAAATACCATTAGATCTGGGAAGAGGTAGAGGTAACTCGGAGTCTTCTCTTGTAACTTGATGGTGACCTTTTAAGTATGAATTTCTCTGGACGACCGTGCAGTCGGGATGAAAAGGACGACCCTTGCGGCAAAATAAGTAAATAACTATAATGACCGCCAATAGACTTATAGCAGATACCATTATAATGGCGATGTACATTGGATTAAAAAATGCAACAGAACTAGTTTCGGTCGGGTCTGAAGTTATAGGATTGTTAGCGTTCTTTTCGTTGGTTTTCGTGTTATTTTTTGTAATCAAAGGTACCGATTCGGTTTTGTTTGCTGTAATAAAAAAAAGAGTGAAGTTTACATGAAAATTATATATTTTCTCGCATTGACAGTCGTTTCGAATGTATTAAAAGTGATAATAATTACCTTCTTGAATCTTCTCCGTAGGTTTCAACACCGGAGTCGTGGGTACCGCATCCTGATTGCACATATTGGTACTGCAACATACGAGTACGGGCCAATTAGCATTCATAACCGCTGGTCTTCTATTTTCGCATAATAGTGGGGTCCTACTACTGATACAACCTCTCAAAATCGGGTTCGTGCCGTCGTGCCGATCGAGGTATTGCGTATAACACATGCTAGTTGTGTTGCATCGGTCTGTCCTTTGCTCCTGACAATCATCAGTACTGCACGCACAAGTTATAAGTTTACCTGGGGCAAAAAAAAAAGAAATATCGAGATTAAAATTTTGTAACCGAAAGGACCGGGGGAGGAGGAAATATTATTATGCTATTTACTATGTCAAAGTTTCCGAACATGTTAGATACTAATCATAAAAAGATAATTTATTAGTAGTTATTTTTATCAGTGAAGTTAAGATCTTCTTTATGCGGCATCCCGTTAAAATTTGTAAAATTTTTGCCCCAGGACCCAGTAACAGGTAGCCATCTGTCCAGAGATGGTGACATAAATATATCTTCCATCTGCATTTCTTCTAGTTGAAGGAATATAGGCAGGCAACATCCATCACTGTTCTTATCTACCATGATGGCACGTGAGGAAGGGGGGGTAGTAAAAGTTACGCTAAAATAAAGGTTAAGCTTGAATGATTTTTTTACGCTTTAATGTTGAAATTAATACCGAAAAGGTGATTAATATATTAGCAACAATGTTACGGAGTCATTTACGAGAATCAGATTACGGAAACGCCTGGAAACTGATAGATAATCGCGGTACAATTACAAAATTACACTTAAGGATTCTGCACGTGTAGCGAGAGTGCTACGAGTTTGCCATACCAAAAAAGAAAAGAAAAAAATATATATATGTAGCAAATCAGGATCTACCCAAAAATTCCCCTCCCCCAACGGTTTCGACTTAAACGTTTAATTGTTTATGGCAATAAAATGAGAGTGCCAACAGTGGGTTATAAGTTAGGAAAGGGAACAGCAGGACCCCATTAAAGCCAATTTATTCATTAAGAATAATGGCGGGGCATAACAATCTGTGCATGTGTTGTAAAAAGAACTAGCGAAGTCGAGAAGACCGTATCCTATTACAAAGTCTACATTGACGTAGATTCAGTTGGCTAAACATGTCGACCCAGTTTGTTGGTTTAAAGCCACGTGGCCGAGAAAGATGCCAGACAAAAGGTACGGTGCCTCCCTTTCTCTGCTACCTAGGCCTCGTTAATCACGTGGTGCTCGGGGTTGTGACCTCTGTCCGCCCTTCCCCCTTGTGACGTCAGTAAGAAAGTACCCTGCCTTTTCTCAAAGTAAAAGAACCCGCCTCGAGTTGTTTTTCGTTATGCGTAAAGATAAAAAAAAAAAAAGAAAAAAATGGACTCGTTTAATACGTTCGATGATGTACGCCGTGTAAATATTTGATAACGGTTTGGATTATAAAAAAAATCAACTCCGCAAACAACCGAAACGATTTATTCCGTTAACACCAGACACGAGAAACAACCATCAATCCAACGAATTTTTAAATTCGAAATCGATTCCGTAAGTGAAATTTTTCAAAGAAAAATTCAAAAGAAGTTTCTAGAAATCAACAAAACTTTCATGTTTCTACTTAACGATGAAAACCGTCCTGGTACCGAGGGTAGGTCAAGGTTAAGACGGCAATAAAAATGTCAAGAAGTGCTGCCATCTGTTGCTCAAACCGACAACTAACTCCGTCTAGTTGTCGAATAATCGGCTAGATGGTGCCACAATTTTAATCTCCCCCCTCCCAAAATTAAAAAAAACAAAAAACAAACTAGTTTCGGACTTAGTAATACTTTATTTAATTTTATATTTATTGAATAAAGCGCTTATGAGATTGCTAAATCCGTCCGCCTTCGAATGTTGATTAAATTTCGAAACCAGTTCTTCTGTATTTTTTTATTATTATTATTATTTTTTTGTTTCGATCTGGTCGATTTCTGCGATGTATTATCTTGGCTCAGTATTTAGTGGGTGGACGTGAAGTTTTCACGCCGAATTTTCGACACCCTGGGCGGATGACGTAATTAGCGACGACCCCGCATTCGACCCGGTACGCGTGGCCCCATCAATCAGTTAGTTCGACTTCCGCCTGGAGGGAGCCATCCCGAATAACAGTGAAGACGTCAACACGTGACCAGGTGGTGTTTGACTTCAGTATGGCGTAAAAGAAAAGATCAAATAATATGAATCCTAATCTAGTCGGTGTCGTCCCTCTTCGAGTTTAGGGCCTATCGGTTATATATGCCCGAACCGCGAAGGGTTAGGACGAAAATAGTCAGATACGAGACGAGGAATGTGACGCAAACAAGGACAAGGCCCGAGGGACGTTACCTCCCTTCAGTGGCATTCGTTATGAGGTCGGTAAATTGTATGTTGCCTGTCAACATCCTATACACTTTCGGATGAGCAAGGTGACTCTCACCTACTCACTAGTTACGTATTCTCGTCTAATGCACCGAATTTAATAGTTACGAGGGGGGTGATAAGAAAGCAAAAGAAAGAATAACTAACTGGCATTTATTTTTGAATGCCAGTTATTTTTCAAAGCGATAATTTATTATTTAATTTGTAAGTGAGCCAGCTACGAAACCAGTAGAAAGCGGTAATTGTCCTTACGATCACGTGGTCTGGCATGACTTAGTCCTGATAAGATTTCATCCTCTAAAAATACTTCACATTCAAATAACGAATCTGGCAGGAACCGAGAAATAGAAAGAGAGAGAGGGGGAACTTACAACCTGTCATTGAAAGCTACGCCGTTCTTTCACCGTTTCATTGTCGGAATTTATTACTTATAAAAAAAATAAATTGTAAATATTACACACGCTTTTTTTACACAAAAAAACGTAATTCTTAAGCAAAAATAACACGTGAGAACACTAATTTTTAATTTAAAAAGAACACAGCTTATTGTGTGATAGGATAATCGTTTCTAGCGCCATTATAGTGACTTTTTCGAACAAAAAAATCGAAAATTTCTAGAATAAATAAAGATTTTAAAGTAATTTTAAGGCATAATTTAACAGTTAATTTATTCGATTTTAGTTTAAAAATCATAATTTTTATAGGCAAAGTTTGGAAGGAATAAAACATATTTTCTAGGAACAGCTTGGAAAAAAAGAAAGAGAAATATAAACTTTGCAATAAATAACTTTTATTAATGCTTTTAATAGCGAGATAATTAATCTACGTTACTTAAACACCATAAAAATTTATAACGNTTATTGAATAAAGCGCTTATGAGATTGCTAAATCCGTCCGCCTTCGAATGTTGATTAAATTTCGAAACCAGTTCTTCTGTATTTTTTTATTATTATTATTATTCTTTTTTTTCCTTCCCCTTTCGAACATCTCACCCTTCAACTTATCATAAATCACTGTATAGATTATAAAACGTATTTTAAAATGCATTACAATTGTTTTTGGAGTGAAGCCAGAATTAAGACATAATTGAAACCGGTCTAGAATCGAGATAGAACGGGAGTGACCAAGGTAATTTTGTCAAGGTACTTAAAATTTGTCTTGGTAACTTTGCAAACGTCTTCTAATTTTTTTTTCTTTCTTTCTACTTCTGCATTTCACGCCAATTCTATTAAATTTGAACCCACCGGCCATTTTTCCTTGGGCTTTCATATATATATATATTAATATATATATATTTTCTCCTCCTCCTCGATTCTCTTCTTCCTTCCCTCGTGCTGAAGATCACTTAAATTGAAGATGATAAAATCTGAATTATGCAATATTAGCGTGCAGTTTATGTCTTCGTGTTCCCCCTTTTTTTTTCTCTTCCTCCTCGGATTATTGATCAATAACGGTTCGTAGATTAGAAGCGTGATTGGATCGGAGGTTTTTTTTATTATTATTTAACCCGTGGATGAACTAAAAATAGTGTGTTTATGATTCCCGGATCGGTAGCAACACGTGTTGACTTTGATTTTAGGAATCGAATGTGTAATTTGATTCATTCGTTTCTGTGAAAGAAGAGTAGGGTGACTCATCTTGTTTCTCAAAATTATATAGGAATAAAGAGTGGAATTCCAAATTGGGAGAATTTCCTATAAAATATTATAGAAAAGCTCATATTAAATGCGTTACAAGTGATGAAATTTAGTCTCCAATTGTACGAAATTTATCGGAAAGAACCCAATTCTGTTAAACTTATCGGAAAGAACACACCCGATTTTATAAAATTAATAAAATAAATAAATAAAATTCCAACCGGAAACATTTTAAAATTAAAAATATAGAGTCTCAATTGTCCGATTTAAACGGGAACTGCAAGCGGTCAGGAAAAAAAAAATCCGGTTAATACGGAACCGTATGTAATACGAGATGTATTTGAGAGCTGATTGTTAGATAGGGTCAGTTATGAAATAAAAATTTATAAAAATCTTTATTTATTTAGTCCAGTATCGCGTGTTGCTTTATATTTTCACACAGGTTTTTGAACCGAAGGCATTTGTCCTTTTTTTTATTTTTATTTTTATGTGTTTTCGCTCTGGCGACATTAAGGGGCCTTTTTCCTGTTGGATAGGCCCACAATTGGGCTACCAGATTAGTAATTACTGAAACCAGCCTTTCTTGATAAGGCTAGATAGCCTGATAAAGGCATTTTTTTTTTAAATTGAGATATGAAGTAGAAAACTGGAGCCTACTGTATTCGAAATTAATCGAATTTTTGATGATTTCCAACCCGAAAATAGCTTAGTAAACACGAAAAGAAGCATTAAAACTATTGAAATTTTTTAAAAAACATGAGAAATTTTATAAAAATCTTAAATCTGGAGACACCAGACCTTAAATTTCTGGGCCAAAAGTTCAATTTTCCGTATCAGAAGAATTGAAATTTAAAACTTTATCATTATTTCTTTCGAATCAGGAGAATCATAAATCTTCTATCAAACTAGAAAATTGATTTAGAAAATTGGCATTGCTCGACTTAGAAATTAAAATAAATAAATAATTCCAAATGAATTAAATAAATAAATAAATAAAAATTATATTCTTTTGGAAATGCGAGAAAATACCCTGATTTTGTTTTTCACTTCTTCAAGCTTCGCTAATCACGAGAACTTTCTAATTTTCTCCAAAACATTCTTCTTAAAATAATAATAATAATAATAATAGGTAAGTTTTAATTGGAAGAAATAAAAATAATTTTCGAGAAAATAGCCAATTAAGTGCAATTTCGGTAGAAAATTACACGAAAAGAAGCTTTAAAATCAAGCACTGTTAACAATTATCGAT